AACACATGGAAGAATTTTGCGTATGAGTTAAGAAATTTTTTTAATGAATGGATAAGCGGAATTAAAGTAGATACTTTTGAGAAACTTAGCGACCTTATTGTAGCGGATCAGATAAAAACGTAAAGTGTCTCCAGAAGTAAAAGATCATTTTATTGACATATGGTCTGAGTTGATTTCACCATTGATTTAGTTGAAAAACTAGATGATTATGATACCTTGAAGTCAACTTTCAACAATAAACAACCGCGTAAAGAAGGGTCTTACGACAAACGAAACTCTTTTAAAGATGGTCCAGTTGCTACAATGAACGAAAAGAAAAAACTACGCTATCACACATAATGAAAAAGGTGAACCAAAATGCTTCAGCTGTAATAATTTTGGACACATCTCAAGGGACTGTCCGCTGCCCAAACCAGTAGTAACATGCCGAAAATGTAATAAAACAGGTCATAAAGCTAAAAATTGTGTTACTAAAGCTGAAAATAATCATTCAAATGATAAAAATTATTCTGTTGAGCAAGTTGGCGAAAATATAGAAGAGAGCAATTCATATTTGAAGAAAGCAAAACTGAATAATTCTGAAGAAGTACAGGCTTTAATTGATACGGGGAGTTCTTGTTGTCTCTTAAGGACTTCAGTTGCTCAGAAACTTAAAGTGAAACCAGAACCTGCTATGAATGAATTGTATGGTTTTGGAAATCAAAGGGTGCCTGCAGTGACCTCTATAAGAATGATTAAAGCCGATATTGAAGTTGATAATGTAAAAGGCCAAGGCATAAATATATACCTTGTTCCTGATAATGCACAGCCACTTGATCTAATCAATCGGAACGGACATGGCTTGATCTCCCTCACATGGCTTATGTCAGAATAGGAAAAAGATTTCAATTCGGGTATAGGGAAGATGAACTATTTAGTAACCTCCAAATTGATGAAAAAATAAATCGAGTCTGCCTTAAAGCTCTTGAGAAAAATGAATTAGAGAAAAATACGATCAGTCTTGTCAGTTCTCAAACAGATTCTGTAGATAATGGATTAATTATGATAGAAAATCCTTCCGAAGGTATAAGCTGTTTATTAGAAATTAAAAATGGCGAAACTTGTATACCAGTGATTAACTGTTGGCGATAGAAGTGTTAAGCTCCAAAAAGATCAATGCGTTGGGAGAGCAGAAGAAGTTGAACTATGTTTAAATACTGAAATTTCTGAATTGAGCTCGAACTTAGCAAAAACGGAAAATATTAACAACATAAAAGTTCCTATAAGTTTAAGCCAAGTTAAAATTGGCTCGGATCTCGACGTTGATCACCAGCAAGTGTTATTGCGTCTTTCGAATGAATACAGAGATAGCTTCGCACTAAATATTTCAGAACTCAGGTGCACTGAGTTCATAAAAATGGACACTAAAGAAGATACATTCGTTCACCAAACTCCAGTAAAGAAAAACAATACAAAAAGTGCCGTTCAAAGTGTAGGATATGGTGAATTTGAAGTTGTTCGAGAGAAGAGGAATGAAGCTGCAAATCTGATTGGACTGAATCGCACTTCGGTGAAAAGTAGTTCTTATGCTGCAAATAGAAATCGACACTGTGGCCAACAGTTCTCTAAACACCACTTCATGCCAAGGCAAAGACAGAATGACGAAAGTGATGGTAGTCAGAGCCAAAAGAATGTAGATGATAAGCAGCAACTACAACCTCAAAGGCCTTTGCGAAGGCAATTACGTCATCCTTACTTCAGGCAATATTGTAGTTATATATCCATAGGACTTCCACGAAACGTTGAACGTGATGGAAGTGAAGATGAACAAAATGAAAGAAAAAACGAACAAAGAGTTTCAGGAGGTGGAAGAGACAATCACTGGAATCCCAGACGATTTTATCAAAGGTGCTTTAATAGCAAAACCCACTATCATAGGAATGACACTCAATGCAGTCAAAGTAGAATGGAAGGAGAAGCAACTAGTAAAGATACTGAAGGAAATGACGAAGAACAGCAGCCACGCGGTCAAGGATATAGATCTTGTCCACTTTACAGATCAAAAATGAGTTGTCGAAAGTCCCACCAAGCTGATTCACGTGCTAAAAACAGATCTTCGGAGGCCATCATTTCCAGAAATAGAGAAGATGATGATAATGACGAGGTTGACGACGAACTTAAAGGCCCAAGCGAACAGTGCGCAAACCATTGCGCTATAGAGACTTCGTATAGGACTTATAAATTTTTTTTAAAATTATATTTCATTTTTTTCCTACCTATTATTATATTTTTGTTGTTGTTTATTTGTCGTTTTAATGCATGATAAGATTTGGTTCAATTGAGGGCAATTGAAAAGTCAGGATGGTCGAATGTAAGAACGATTGTAAATTATTTAATTGTTATTAGACAAAATATCTATTGAGAAAATGGCAACAGCTAATTTCTGGATGTCTTTCCATTTTTAATTTTAAAAATATACTTTGAGATGATGTGCGCTTCAAATGTTTAACGGTACGATGCAGTAAGTACGTTTGTTATATTATGTACGTTTACGAATACGTTACGTATAAGTTATTAAGATTTATCTTCAAATAAATGTTTGTCTTTTACAACCATTTTACGAGCGATTAATTTAACTACAAAAGGAAGTTAACACGTTGGTGAGATATGTAGAAAAATTTAAGTCCATAGCAGCAGGTTCCAAAGAGGAATTGGCATTTTGTTCTTCACTGTCTGATTTTTAAAGTCTGAGCATAACTCACACCATTGCGGCGATCAGAAGAAGGCTTTTTCAGAAGATCAGAACAAGACGCAGGTCAGTCGGTTCATGGATTCAATCGATTACTTCATTTTTAAATAACTGTACTTGAAATAAGGGCATGGGGCCCGAGTCCTCTTAAGGCTAGGAAATTTTTCACAACCCCTATACGAGGCTCGGTGGCCGTCTTTTCCGCAGCTGCAGCACTTAAAAAGGACGTCTAAGCGTTCTTTATCGCAGTCCTGAGTCTTATGATGTCCAGCGCATTTCACGCATCGTGGGGAAACATGACAATTCTCCGAGGAGTGGTGCCATTTCTGGCAGTTAAAGCATTGCGGACTTGGGATTTCGAAACATATTTTTCCACCGTAATTGGAAAAGGACGAAGGTCATTCGGTTCATAGATTCGATCGATTACTTCATTTTTAAATAACTGTACTTGAAATAAGGGCATGGGGCCCGAGTCCTATTTTTGTCAGCTGCACTACTTTGAGAACCTTGAATCCTTGCTTAACTAACTCATCTTTGATTTCGGAGACCTCCATATCAGAAAGTAAACTCTCAGTAGAAGCTTAACAGGCTTTTCATGCCTAAAATTGACTACAAAACGGTCAATGCCTTTTTCGAGAAAGTATTTACTCAGAGTCCTATGATCATTATCAGTGCAGGGTACAACCTTTAGAAATTCACCACTCAGACGGAATAAAAACTTGACATCGGTAGTTTAGCGGCTAAGTACTTAGCAAAATCATTAAACTTAACGTTTGTATTATGGGTCTAACTATTATGGGGGGGAATTACACGTTGAACAGCAGTAGGGGCGTGCTGCTGAGAACTTTTATTTACAAATATTAGATGAAATATTTGCAGATACATTTGAGTTTGAATTAGCTACATCATTATTTTCAGGCTGAGAATTGCTGCCACAGTCTGGAGTTACACTGTTATCAACAATATTTGCATGACTTAATACTTCAAATTTAATAGATGTAGTTGCAAAAAATTTAGTCTTAGCTTTAGGAGCTCTAGCAGTTTTATTGGGTTTCTTAAATATACTATCATTTTCAGAAAGATCAGATTCACTTACATTATGTTTTCTCTTAGATGTGTTGCCCGGTCGCGTATTTTTACTTCCTCCCTACTCGCAACCCGCGACTAAATTTGGCGATTTATCAGGTCTTGGTGAAATAGTGACACCAAGCGCACGCGCAAAAGGAAATAATGCTGTCGGTTTCTGTTTCAAATTTGTGATGGCTGCGAGTATGTCAAATGAAGTAGAAAATGAATTTTATAAAATTTTATTTGATGGATATTCCTACAAAAGTAGTGTCTTCCAAGTTCGGAGGAAAAGAGGATTTCGACTTTGAGATCGGATGTGATCTTAATAGCGAAGATGAATGGGAGAATTGGGAAATACATTTTGAAGCTGTTTCCCACGTGCATTGGATTGTATCTTCCAAAACAAAACAATGCAAATAGAAAACAGCAAAGTTTATTTTTAAGACAGATTGTGTGTGTCAACATGCAAGGCTAAATAAGAAAGAGGCTAGTTTCAGAAATAAAGAATGTTTAGCTGCTTTGCATGTCAGAATTAAAAAAAATAATAAGTATACAAGATGTCGTGATGAGTATGTAAAAAAGAATATGTGCACGTTGATTAAAGTTTCATTTCGGCATACATATCGATGTGATGTTGTTGAAGCGTGGAATTGCTTACGCCCAATTGATTCGGTGAAAGAAGTGTTCATCAACTACTTTCGTACCGGTAAAATAACAATATTATTAATTGTTATTTTTCCTCTCTTTTTCTTAACTAGGCGTTCTTCTCTCGCTTCCTGAGCCAGACGTTGTTCTTTCGCATTTTGAGCCAGGCGTTCTTCTCTCTCTTCTTGAGCCAGGCGTTCAGCAATTATTCAGTTTAGAATTAATTCAACTTCTTCCTAATCGTAAAACTGACTTTCAGTGATTAATTTTTAATTTCTGGGACCTTATTAGTAAGCGGCACTTCCTCACCTAATTTTTCGGCTACTTCTATTAAATCTTGTTTTCTATCCTTGGCAAGAAATGACATGTTCAGAAATAGAAAAACTCTTGGACAGTATTTCAAAATTAATTTTAAAAAGCTTTTAGTTAATATTCAAAAATTCAAATCAACTTGCTCAACCTAGTCTCTTTTTTCACTAGAAATTCAAGTATGACAAAACTTATTTCTTTTTCTGAAACATTTAATGCAACAAAACGTATGTGCTTTCCGATAAACAAAAATCTGCGAAGCTTGCTCTTAATAAATTATACTAAAGTAAATAAATAAAAAAAATCAAGCCTCTAACTTGATTACACAACAAAATTCGTGATGTGGGACTCTAATAGAAGAGCTCAAATTTAGGAATAGGAATATTATAATATTAACATAATAAATTTTTCACTCTAATACAAGAGCTGAAATTTTATAATAGAAATATTCTAATATTAACGTAATAAATTCGCGACACTAATACAAGAGCTCAAATTTTAAACGAACATCGTAATCAGGCTAAATACTTTAACGCTTTAATCCTGTTAAGGAATATTCTTTGATATCGCCAAGAGATGGCGTTAGGAGTCCATCTATTGGCTTACTTAACCTTTCCCCTTCTGAACACGTGACTTGAAAACATATTCGTCTTCTTGAAGGAAGAATTTCGATGCACTACGCAATAGAATTCGATTTAGATTTTAGCTGGAACTATTCAGTTCTTGCCTTTTGAGCATTAAATATTCGATTCAGGCATTTTAGCCTACATTGTATATATGTAAATATTAAGTTTAATTAAAATTTATGGAAAACCCTCCAGGCCATGCATCTCGTCTTTTGGATTATGAGTGATTCGACTTTGATCTAGAACTTTCGTTACATAATGGTGCATCGGCTCCAGAAAAGAATCTGATTAATTTGAAAATTTGTGTTTTTTGCCTTTTGGATTAGCTTTGTAAGCGAAGACTTCTCACGATAAGTCTCCTTTGATAATTTATTAAAATGGAACAGAAGACACTAATTAAGAATCGAGCACATATACGTGCTTCTGTAACTCAAATTATTAAAAATGTAGATGAGTATTTAAAAGAAGAAAATCAAGAAGAGTTAGAAAATTGTTTGGAATTGTTAAATAGTAAAGAAACGGAACTACATGATTTAAATGAAAAAAATACAAAATTTGATTGAAGATGAATCAAAATTAGATTCAGATATTAACACTTCTATGGAATATAACGATAAAATAATAATAGCGAAGTCTAAAATCAACCGCTATTTAAGGAAATACAATACTCAAAATATCAACACGAATTTAAATAATTCATCTACAGAAGTTGAAACCAAAAGACAGATTGAAGGCAATGTGAAATTGCCCAAACTGTTAATTCACAAATTTTCCGGAGACTTATAACGATTGGATGAATTTTTGGAATTCATTCAAGGTCACTATTCATGACAATGTTACACTTTCGAAGATCAGAAAAATTTAATTATTTGAGAAACTTATTTATGTGGAAACGCAGCAGCATCAGCCATAGAAGGTCTCTCAATCTCAGAGGCTAATTATGACTCTGCTATAGACATTCTTAAAAATAGATTCGGTCAAAGTGACCTTATTATCAATACACACATTTCTAATCTCTTAAATTTAAATCCCGTTCAAAGTTCAAGTGAAGTGGCAAAATTGCGAAAACTTTATGATACAATTAACGTTCAAGTCAGAAGCCTTTTAGCATTCGGTGTGAAACCAGAAACATATTCCAACATGTTTATTCCAATTTTGATGAAAATTGTCCCGAACGATATAACTTTAGAATTTCATCGTACAAATACTGAAAATCCTTCAACCTATGATTTAAACAAAATTTCTAGACTTTCTCCGATTAGAAATAGAATCGCGAGAAAAGATTAATTCGTTATCCTTTCCACGCAAGTCAAACCCGGAAATGAAAGGTATTAACAGATATCCACCGACGCCGAAACATAAAAACAAACTGTCACCACACATGAATTTATGGCAGCCGCGTCATCAAATCGAAACTGCATTTTTTGCTTTTCAAAACCATGACTCAGAGTCCTGTTTATGCCTTACAGTTAATGAGAAGAGAGATATTTTGAAAAAAACAAGCGCGTTGTTTTCTTTGTCTTGGCCCCTAAACACAAAATCTCACAGTGCCGGCAACGCCAAACTAAAGTTTGTAAAATTTGCAAAGGTAAACATTCAGAAGCCATATGTTTTAAATCCAGTTCGATAGTTAAAAATACACCAAGTGATAAAAAGGATAGTATATCAATTTCGAAAAATGATACACAAACTAAGGAACAGAAAGAAGAAATTGTTTCGGCCGTTTCACATAATGCAAATAATACAATTCTTTTACAGACTTGCACGATAAAAGTTAAAACAGCTAAGGAAAAGGTGTT